AGTGATGCTGAAGATTGATGCGAAGCTGAAGTCGGATGTGAAGCTGAAGTCGGATGTGAAGCTGAAGTCCGTCACGTCCTTTGTTCTTCTTATATGCGGAGATGGCACACAGCTGGTTAGATGGAGCACGAATGGCAGAAGTCGCACTTCTGGTGGCTTCGTAAGAGCGGCAGGTGGTGACAACATCCTGTAGAGAAGAGGCAGTGTCGAGGGAGATAAGCTTCTGAATTAGCTCTTCGTCCCGCACGCCCATGAGGATAATCATCTTCAGCTGTGTTTCCTCACAAGTCGACGAGTTCCCAGGACAAACGTCAACCTCCTCAGCGATGCGTCTGAGTCGTACGTAAAAATCGGCAAACGACTCACCCTCCAGCTGCTTACAACTGAGAAGTTCTCTCCTACGGAGAGCTTCGTTGCGGAGACCCTTGATATGCGTCTGTAAAGCATCCAAGACGTCCTTCACACTCTTGTCTGTGTCGTGGGGAATTTGCAGGGTGTGCTCCAGGATACGTTGCGTCTCTAGGGTGAGACACATCCTCATCTGGATCAGCTGTTTCTCCCTAGGCAACCTTGATAAATCGACCATCATCGAATAATCGTCCCACCTCCGACGCCATTCACGGAATACCTGGAACGAGGCATCAGCTTGGAGTGGCGGTGGACTCTGAGCGAGTGCTTTCTGTGGGGGGGGCAAAGAAGTTGAAGAGGACCCTGCAGGTGCACCTGTGGACGAAGAGGCAGGTGTAGTAGCTGCTTGAAGGTTAACAGGTGCCAACAACTCGATAATGGCACTGAACCTGGCATTTTCTTGTTGACGTCTGTGATTCTCTTCACGCCTTCGTTCATCGTCTTCCTGTCGCCTCCTGATGTCGTCTTGTCGTCGGTTTTCTTCCAAAAACTGAATTAAATGAAGGAAGTCGACACCTGTGGCAGATTGCGGACGTGTGTAGTGGGGGCTAAGGGTGGGTGGGGCCGCTTGATCCACTTCCCGATCCACTTGGAGTCCACTTACTGCACCAACATCCGTCTGAAGTAGGGCTTGTTGGGTATCTGAAGAAAACCCAATAAATTCCTGATCTTCCATATGGCCTGGTTTATTTCTCTCACAATTACTGTAATTAATAAGTGAGCAGAAGAGCAATCGTCTTTAAATGGAAGATATCTGCGAGCGTCTGTGTGTGTGTGTGTGTGTGTGTGCGTTCGTTCGTGCGTGTACTCGGGGCAGGCTGGCTAGCGGGCTGGCGGTTACAGCAACTCCTCTCGCTGGCTCAGACACTCAGTGCTGGTGAGACATGAATGGGGGTGGATGTCAAAACTTGAGCTCTCCCATAGGTCTTAAAAAGGCTCCCCTCTTTTGTAAAAAGTGCAGGAACACGGGGAAACACTTTAAAGGGCACACACAACACTGAAAAAGCACTTCACAACACTGTACTGTAAATCCAGGAATATCGTGTTGAGGTACGCGCCGAGATCCACTCGACAAGAGAAGTTGACAAGATGGCGGCTCTGAGAGAGATTCTGTGTCCACTCCAATTCTGAACAATGTGACGTCCCAGCTACTCACTGCGCCATGTGTGATACTCAGGTGGTCCTTACACTCAGGGGTAAAGGAAACACACTGATGTCAAGTCCATAAATTCTATTCCTGGTACAAACACAAAAAGGAGTTAAGACAGGGGTAAACAGCGTCCTGTCTTGGAATCTCTCTGGGTATCTCTATCTGCGCATGCGCGTACAGCGCGCATGTGCCCAAAGCCTGAACTAACACTTGGTGACAAAAGGGAGTATGATTATAATACAGAGACCTGAATCAATAATGGTAAATAGTACAGAGTTACATAGTACAGCCATATTCGTCTCATATATCTACAAAAATGACTACCTGTACAGTCCTTTAAACAAAGAAAATTAAACACTTAAGTTAGGATAATATAATTGACATTGCTGGATTCCTTGTAAGACCAGGAATATTTTGAATATAAATGTCATATATTTTGCACAAAAGATAACATATTTACTCAGAGTAAACATTATATCAAAAATTTGTATGTCTAATGCAAAATCTATGATGTTTATATTCAAAATGATCATCAAATTGTAAGAATTCCAGCAATGTAAATTATATTCTGGCCGGGTAATTTGTATGAATTTTATGAGTTAAAACATATATCTTCATTAAATAAACAAAGAAATATTTCAAAATGCGCTCCGAAATCCATGCGGGAAAACTGAAGGTTCTGGTTTATCGGTTGCCGGATTTTTGATGGGCCACCTGTATGAGCAATAGGGGTTGGGTATAAATGGCACTGCACAGTATTGGCCAATAGGTCCGCTGCAGTTTCCTCCATTCATACGTTCTTATGTTAATGCTGAGCGCCTCAAATATCATCCCACTTGGACGATTCTCAGTGTTAACTGTTATTTTTGAAAATTAAATGTTATTCATTTCAATCATTTGTATTCAAATATTTTATGTTATACCTGTACAGTATTCACATTCATGAAAAATATAAAGTATTTGTAGATCCTGTCAGTAAGTCAGGTTGACAAGCTTAATACTCATGTGACCTGTGGTCAGGTCATTTGACCTCAGGTGACTTCATAATTGGCTAAAACAGGCAGAAATAGTGAGGTCATGAGTTTAGGAGGAAAGAGTCAGTAATCTTTATAATAAAAGAACTTACTGTATATAATTTTTTTTTATTTGTAATATAATTTGTATTGTATTCCTATAATTCATTCATCCTACTGTAATTTAATTTCTAATATATTTTTATAATAAACAGTATTTCTAATAAAATTTGTGATGTTTGGAAAAATTTTTCCTATAATCGTCCATGTGGGAATGTTCTTTATGAGAATCGTCCAAGTGATAAGAAATCATATACCTGTACAGTATCTGGGAATTGTCGTAGTGGCACATAAGCTGTCATGCTGTAGCTGGTGACCAGCACCATCAGGAGGTTATGCGGCATTGTCACCTCATCAGTTGAGCTGCGTAGCGCCTTAAAGCAGACTTTTTTAGTAGATTTGTGGATTAATGTTGTTAATTGTGTTGATGGAAATATAAATCTGAAAGTATGGGTGATGGATGCTAGTGTTCTCCCTGGTTTTATATATACTATACGTTAGTGTTAATTCCAGTGAAATGTTGAACAAAAATGTTTCTGTTAACATTAAACAAATGATTAGAAATTAATTTTCAAGTAATTTAGAAATATAAATTAGAAAGTAAAACATAACAAAACAATGGTTTAGTAGTGTTGTTAATGTGTTTGGTATGTAAGTGCATTGTCACCTTGCCTCACAATGTGTTACATTTATTTATTTCTGTATTTACTTTATTATTACTGTATGCATATTTAACAAATAATAATTTTTGCACAGTAATTACAAATATAATATGATACTTTATATGGCAGCCAAGGCATGGTAACTGAGTATGTTTGTTGATTGGAATAATGAGGATCTTCAGAACGATCCAATTATGGTGCAAAAACTGAACAGAAAATAAACGAATAATCAAACACAAATTCAAAAATTGTCAAATACGTACAGTAATGTTAAAATATTCCAAAATCAGTTAATTCAGATTTTTGGGTAATTCAAGTGATCCAGAGCTCCTTTTTTTTGTCAAATTATTGAGGGTTTAGTGTATAAACAATACGTGGTCTGTCCGGAAAGTATCCAGCCATTGTGAATATTGTGAGAACTGGTCGTGCGGCCTTGATGTAACTTGGCAGCCACTCAGAGAGGACCGTACTGCGCATGCATGAAGAGTCACACTTCCGTGGGACAACTCGGTTGCCTGGCAGATGCCGTTGAGTGAGCGTGGGTACTGTGTGACTGTCTCATTTACAATGACCAAACAATAATGAAGGAGTACTACATCGAAGTTCTTCACCGGCTGAGGGATGCGGTAAGAAGAAAACGACCGCAGCTGTGGGCAAGTGGTGACTGGCAGCTTCATCATGACAACACGCCTGCCCATTCTTCACGTCTCGTGCAGGGTTTTTTGGCAAAACATCGCATCACCCAGGTCTCTCAGCCCCCCTACAGCCCAGATTTGGCTCCCTGCGACTTCTGGCTTTTCTCAAAGCTAAAATCGCTGTTGAAAGGGAAGAGATTTCAGACTGTGGACGAGATTAAGGAGAATGCGACGAGGCAGCTGATGAAGATCCCGAAAGAGGACTTTGCAGACTGTTTTGAAAAGTGGAAGGGACGCTGGGAGAAGTGTGTGAGGTCCCAAGGGGAGTACTTTGAAGGGGACTAAGGTGCCATTGTCCTAGGTAAGCAATATTTTTTTAATAGTAAATGGCTGGATACTTTCCGGACAGACCTCGTATGTGGTAATACAGTATAGGCCCTTCTCTATTATCAGCCTTAGACCCCTCTCAACCTTAAGGGGGTAGCTGGAGTGTTTGTTTGTCTTAGACTTATAGCCTATATATTATGCACCACAAATAGCTAATGTAAGTTGAACACATCACAGTAGTATTTCCTGAAAGCACATTAAAAAACAAATTAATATATTTCATAAATTATTATTTCAATACAAACCCACCAGATATTAATGAAATCCTCCCAGTTAGTTTGCTGTACATTAATATAAATCTATACACTACATATTGGCTGTGATGCTCAACTCAGCCACACTTAGTTTAGCAACTTCCATCATGCACCAGTAGCTGGCAATGTTCCCCTTATCAGATCTTATTAACTGGGTCTGCAGATTACACCAGACAAAAATACATCTGTTTTAGGGAATACAGTACAGTATCTGGTATTGAGAAGTCCATTACTGAAGGGGGTTTACTATACAATATAACTATCCCACACATGGGGGATAAGAGCTGAAACATAGGAATAATGACATGTAAATAACTCTCATGTCATGCCTACAACTGAGCAAAATTTGGGTATGCCATCTTGCATTAGTCACAGGAACTATATTAGGCAGGGTACTCCAGCTCCAAATTGTAAAAATTCTTATGTTTTAGATAAGAAGCAAAGACGTGTAGCAAATGCAAATTCAGCAACCACTGCAAGAAATAAAAAAGGGAAAGAAGAAGACAGTAGTCCAAATACTTGGAAATTACGACGTAAACCTGGGAGTGCTGGAGCCCCTTCTGCAGCTAGGAATTCTCACCTGCTTGGACAACAGGCTGAGGCGCATGCTTCTGCCTTTCAGACCAGTAAGATACTATGTTCACTGTTGTGTTTTGAATTGATACTCTAAGTTACATGGTACATTTTGAGTTAAAGAAAATCAATAAAATATAAACAAGAAGTTTTATGTTCAGTTTACTTTGCCATGCACATTGTACAACACATCCAGATGAAATGGGGGAGGGGGGAGCAGTGTACGTATATAAGTAAAAAAAAAGTTTTGTCAAAGTACTTGGCCGCTTTTAATCTAAAGTTCATTACCGGGCTCAAAAAGTACCTTAGGTATCACCTGGATAAGTAATCATCAAAAAATATAATATATGGAGCAACCACTGAGTGCTCACCATGCATGTGCTTTGAGCAGCAACTATGAGATACAATACTTTATTGTAAAATCACCGAACTTACAATATAAAGCATCGCAACATACAGGATTCCGTTTAAATGCTTTATAGTTATCAAAATTTTTGTAACGTGAAACCAGATCAAAAGAACTATACTGTAAATACATTCTTCCAGGGTTTCTTGAGTAGCCATTAAGTCCTTAAGCCATGGCGACTGGCAGTAATCAGGTGATTGTTTGCCCCCTATGGCAACTGTTGCTTAAGCAAGAGGTTTAAAGTCATGGTTTGCTGTAGAGTATGACATTTCATGATACCATATAGTTCATTCTCTCTTCTATTTTAATTGCATATGTAAACCAGGTTCACTGTAACAAATTAATTGCATGTGTATACCAGGTTCACTGTAACAGCTGAATGCATGTGTAAACCAGGTTCACTGTAACAATTTGATTGTCTGTTTGTGTAAACCAGGTTTACTGTAACAACTGATTGTCTGTTTGTGCAAACCTGGCATTACTTGACTCTTACCTTTCTCATTGCCCACTGACTGCTTCATGTGTTACTCTTTTCTGTGTCTACAAATATGAATTGCAACTTTCTCTCTTTCCCTAGATATTTGTAATATAGTTGCCTGACCATAAAAATTGCCTCTGTAGTTTCCCTATCTGGCTTAAACCTAAACTGCATTTCCTTTATGTTTACACTCCCTGTTATCAACTTCTTCATCACTCATTCCATAATTTTTATAACCTGATTGAGCAGCTTCAGGCTCCTTTAATTTCTGCATTTAAGTACATCACCTGTGCCCTTGTAAATATTTATGATCTTTCTCTCTTTTGCCATTCTCATGGAGCAGTGCATTCTCAATCTACCACTGTAAAATTATAGATATTTTACATTGGCTGTTTCTCATCCAACTTCGGGGTCAGAAAGTCACTTTTTGCTGGGTACCGGCCCATGTAGGGGAGAAAGGGAATGAGCGCGTTGATGCTTTGGCGAAAGCAGCTGCTTCTCGCCCTGTGGCACATCGTTCACTTCTACCTCCCTCTGATATGAAGCGAGCAATAAGAGCTGCTATCCACTCAAGTTGGCACCACAGGTGGGATGCTGTTGGAGCAAACAAGCTCCACAACATCTACCTTGCATTGGGTGCCTGGAGATGTCAGGGACTGTCACGCCGCCAGGAGACTGCTTTGGCCCACCTCCGTATTGGCTACACACGACTGACTCATGGCTTTTCAATGGAGAGGGCGCCCCCTCCCCATTGTGATGACTGCCTGGTCCCATTGACTGTTCGACACATCCTGGTGGAATGCCCCAGTCTCAGAGATCTTCGTCATAAGCACCTCTCCCAGTGCTGAAGGGCTTTACCGTCTCACTTTAGTGCTGGGGGGTGGGGTAGCGTAGGAGAGGATGTTTTCTCCTTCGTGGAGGAAGCCAGCCTTCTACACAAGCTTTCAGTTTTATCTGTTAACGTTTAAATGGTTTTTACAAAAGTTCTATGTTATTTATTAATTATGGTGTTAACCTTGTATTATTTGATTTTAGTCTTTTAACACTATTGGGTTTAGGGATGTGCTTTTTGGCAAGACGCTCAGGGTTTGGCCACTCACTCACCTCACTGCACTTGACTGCACCGTATATACTCGTGTGTAGTTCGAGTTTTTAAGACCAAATTTTTAGGCAAAAAATTGGGGGTCGACCTCTACATGGGTAATAGTTTTGTTAGGTTGAATCCGTGCATGATGGGACGGGCAAGGAGCAACTTTTAGCTTCAGACATGAAAAATATTTACCATTTACTGCCAGTAAACAATGGAAACGTAAAATATGTACCAATTATTAATGAAAAGTTGTGCAGTGCCTTCAGCAGATGAAGCTCACCAACTTACAATAGGCTAAATTACCTTACAACGTGCTTTCAGTAGTCTATGTTGAAGTCCTTAGCACAGGCTAACTTATCATATCATATACGGTATCACAGTACTCATTGATCTACAAAAAATACCGGTAATAAAAACCTTTTCGATATTTCACACTTAATATAATACCCGGTAATCCACCTCAACCTCATATTGTTTACAGCGATGCACGACGCACCACCAGCTGTTGAGTATCAGCTAGACGGTACACGTGTTTTTCGAATCGTTTTCAGTTAAAAAACTGTTACATCACACGTATATTTTATCTTAACTGTGCCTGAATGAATATATTCTCGGAAATAAATAGTAGTTTTGCTGAAACGTGATGTATTTCAATGTAAAATAGGATAAAATACATGACGAAAACAAAAGACTTTACCTAATCTTCCGATGTTCTTGAGATGGTACTCGTTTTTGTAAGAGTTTTCGGTTAAAATACTGTTATATTACAATGGTATTCTATTCATACTGTGCCTGATATAATACATTCACGGAAATGTAATATTTTTGCTGAAATGACATACGTATTACAGACCTTAGGGGTGGATCAAATACAATTGTATTTGTATTTTAATTGGCGCGCCAAATCAACCTGCCTTGTTCCTTTCTCCAACTCTTGGATGATGCTATACTTCACCTCGTAGCTTAAGGAACGTCGTGTCTTCTTTGGTTTAGTGCCGCTGGGTCCAGTGCCGCTGGGTCCAGGTAAGGAAAGGTTTCTCTCTGGGGGTGGTGGTCCGGCGGAAGCCATTTTACGGAACAATGGATGCGCGTTTACGCGGAGTGGCCTTGAGGGATGAAACTGCCGCGGCTAGGTCAAGCGTCGTCTTTCCTCCCTCCCTCCCTCCCCCCCCCGGGTGGACACGTCATAATACTTTAAGCCAATTACAGCTAGCAGCAGAGGGGGATAGGGATGCATGGCCAATCACAGGTCTGATACGTCATATGACATCAGTGATAACGCAACAAAGACACACACTGCGCAACCTTACCGCGCCGCTTGCCCAAGCGGAGGGAGGAGGAGGGAGAGGCAGGCAGGCAGGCGGGCGGGTGGCGGGTGGGGCGAATCTAAAGATAGCGTCGCGCCGGACACTCTCCGCGTAATGGGGTTCACGTACCGCGTAATGTGAGCACGTGAGGTTCTGGCAAGGCACCGCGTTAACGTGGAAACGCGGAATGCGGGACCGCGTAAAGTGAGGGTTAACTGTATATGACATATATATTCAAAATATTCCTGGTCTTACAAGGAATCCAGCAATGTCAATTGTATTATCCTAACTTTAGTTTGAGGTATTATTTATTAAAATTTAGTGGTTTTCCCCCAAAAATTTCTCAGAGAGGGAAGAGCCAGCAGTGTAGTGTGAGAAGAGGGGGAGGGAGTTGAGTCCATTATTTGAATGGACATTAACTTGGCGACTGTATTTCTCTATTTCTCTTAAGTATTAATTGTGTGCATGTACCATCATAAAATTAAGATGTTATTTTTACTACAACATAGTTATGTGTCTTCAAAAAGTGGAGTTTGGGGGTCGGGCTGGTTTCTATTGGAATTAATCCTATATGTTCTGTTGTTCACTTAACGCGGATTTCACTTAACGCTGGACCCTCTGGGTTCTATTGACCGCGTTAAGTGGGGTACAACTGTATACACTTTTACTCTTAAATCACTACTGTAATGTGATACAGGGGACTAATTTTTATCTCTTGTGCAAAATAAATGACTTATATTAAAATTATTCACTGTTTTACAAGGATTCCAGCAACGCCAAGCAGATGGGTGAGGAGGGAGTGGCGAGGCGTGGGAGGGTAATCGTTTGACAGTTATTTGGGCCAGGTCTATCATTGTGTTATCAGCTCTTAGGTGACTAAGCTTCTCTCTTATAAAAAGCCAGTGAAATGACCTGGGTGAATATAATTACTTAAGCTGGGATTCTTGTAACATATGATTAATTTGAATATAAACATATAATTTGCACTAAAAAAAACAATTTTAGTTCCATAATCAAATTAGTACATGTGCCTCAACTTTTCTCATTTTATTTCTATTACGTTCTTTAGTATGGTGTGTGCATGTAAATGGATGAAAATAATTGAAAATATAAATATCAAAAATACAGTTTAAATTTTTTTTTATAAAATGTATTACAGTACTGTACTAATATTACAACAATTTTTATCTCTTGAGCAAAATATATAGCGTTTATATTCAAATTATTGGCTGTCTTGCAAGGATTCAGCAATGCAAATTATAATCTCTAACAGTCTGAGATATTATATAAGATAAAACTGTAAGCCTATAGGCCTGTGGGACTGGCGGAGCCGTTCATACAGCGAGGTTGGGGGTTGGGGGGTTGAGGTGATAAGTTTGAGGAAGGTCTCTGTCTGTTTTTAACAGTCCTCTAAGCTTCTCTCATTTAAAATGCCAGTGATATGGAGAAATATAATTAACGTGGCTGGGATTCTTGTAAGATACTGATTTATTTGAATATAAACGTGTTGTAATTCGCACTAGACATAACAATTTTAGTACCGTAATCAAATTAGTTCATGTGCACTCAACTTTTTAGTCGTTTATTTATTTCGTTCTTTAGTATGGTGTGTGCATGTAAATGGATAATAAATGAAAGAATTATGTAAATCTACCCAAAATATTAAGTTAAAACTTTTTATAAAATGTACTATAGTATTGTACATAATGTACTACATTTTTTATATCTTGAGCAAAATATATGGCGCATATTAAATTAATCTTGTTCTTAAATTTCAATAATTCAAATTATATTATATTAACTTTAGTCTGAGATATTATATAAAATAAACATAATCACCAATCTTTATCTTGGAACGAGGTGGTGGGAAGATGGGGAGTGAGGTGACAGGTGTCTGGGCATTTGTTGTTATTTGAGATAGTTTGACAGTTGGCGCTGTATGTTTATTTATCATTACTTAAGAGTGACTAAGCTCTTCTCATAATTTAAACTACCTGGGTGAATATAACTTACATTGGAGATTCTGTGAATAGTAATTTATTTGAATACCTTTATAAACAAGCTATATTTTGCAATAGACATAACAATTTTAGTACCGTAATCATTTAGTACATGTACAATGCTGAGTTTTACCTAGGTCCATGTTGTTGCTGCTATTGGCTAAATTCACTAGATGTAATATGCCTGGCACATAATCTATAAAATCTGCGATGCATGACATATTCGCTCAGGTCTATTGGTTAACAAGTCATTATTTGAATGTTTTTTTTTTTCAATTTAAATTTTAATTGTTATTCATTGATAGAAGCGGGATCCTAGTGCTGTCATGCCTATTACCTTTACCAAGTAACTATTGAGTGTCAAGTATATACAGTACAGTACAGTCATCCCTTGGTTATAGTGCCTAATTGGGACTCCCGATAATGAAATGCAGAACCTATGGATTTATTCTAATTGGTTCAGGCACCCAAGACCCAACCCCAAGTTTCCTATTTTAAGTGCCAAGACCCACTAAAATATATATATGATATTGTGATATCATAATCACACATTATTGGCTAGGTTTATTACAAAGTGATGAAAAGGTAAGCTTATTACTGTAGTCACAAAACATGTAGCTATGCTTTTTTATTTGAGTCACGTCATGAGTCCGTTTTCTCTCACATCAGGGCGCTGGAGTCCTCGTTTTCTCTCTTTAATCTTGGTACTTAGAAAACTTCTATTTTAGTAATGCACAAATTTTGAAGTACCTTCCCCCAATTGCAACTGGGAGTTGCAGTGTGAGCAACTAGATATGTCTGATTACAGCAAATGTGTTATTCAATTTGTAGTCGAAGATTTTATCCTCAATAGATGTAATTAACATTTCACCTGTAGGCAAATCTTAACCTAAAGTAGAAGCATATTCCTTTAACATAATATCTGACCAGTATGGGAGGTCGTCGTGTTCTAAATCGAGGTGAGTGAGTGGTGTCCAGCATCCACGTTTTTTTTCTGAGCGCGTGGGCGTATATCGATGGGGCGTGTTGGTGGGCGTTAACGGCGCATGACTGTATTTATTTTCTAGTTAGTGTTACAAGTGATTTCAAAATACCTTTTGCCTCTTCCATAAACAAAGGAAAAATTATATTTTGCTGCTTACAGACAATTGTTGAGGCGAAAACACTTGGTTGTTTTATTTTTGTTATTGTTTATTTTTTATTACTAGCTTTTATCTGCAAGCAGTGGCGTTGAACATTGAACCTTTCCGCTGTTTTTGTGAATTTAAGTCTTGGCCACTTTTCCATCTATGGGTCTGACTTCGCTGTAAGCTGGAGTTAATCCACAGGCTCGAATCGGCGTCAAGGTCAATCTGGGCAGGCGTGCAACCGTGATGCCCGTGGCTCTACCGAGGTCGCTCTTGAGTTTTCCTATGTTATCAGCCGCCTCAACTCAACAAACACATTGTACA